TTGAAGATTACTGGTCAGATAATTTGTAGGATGTCTCTCAAGGGGGATTGTGAAAAGTTAAGATATAATTCACATACCATAAGATCCACCCTCTTTTTTTTTTTTAAGATTATTTATTTATTTATTTGACAGAGCGAGAGATAGCGAGAGCAGGAACACAAGCAGGGGGGGTGGGAGAGGGAGAAGCAGGCTTCCCGCCAAGCAGGGAGCCCAATGTGGGGCTCGACTGATCCTGTGACCCTGGGATCATGACCTGAGCTGAAGGCAGATGCTTAACAACTGAGCCACCCAGGCGCCCCAAGATCCACTTTCTTAAAGCGTACAATTCAGGGGTTTTCAGTATATTCACAGATTGTGAAACCATCGCCATTAATTCCAGACCATTTTCATCACCCCAGAAAGAAACCTGGTCCCCATCAGCCATCACTCCCCACTCCCTCCTTCCCCAGCCCCTGGCAACCACTAAGCTACTTTCTGTTTCCAAGGATTTGCCCATTCTGGACATTTTATATAAAATTGGTCATGCAACATGTTGTCTTTTGTGACTGGACTTATTTCGTTCAGCATCATGGTGCCAAAGTTCATCATGTATAACACTTCATTTTTAAAAAATTGATAGTTGTGGTAAAATATACATAGTATGAAATTTATCTTAGCCATTTTTACGTGTATGGTTCAGTAGTGTTAAATGTATTCATATTGTTATGCAACCGATATCCAGAACTTTTTCACCCTGCAAAACTGAAATTCTGTACTCCTCAAACCACAACCCCCCATTGCCCCTCCCCCAGACCCTGGCAACCACCACTCTGTTTTCTATGTGTATGGGTTTGGTTACTCTAGATACCTCGCAGAAATTGAATCATACAGAATCTGTCTTTGTGGTGACTGGTCTATTTTATTTAGTATAATGTCCTCAAGGTTTATCCATGTTGTATCATCTCTTGGAATTTCCTTCCTTTTTAAAGCTGAATAATATTCCATTCTGTGTATAGACCACAGTTTGTTTATCCACTCATCCGTCAGGGGATATATGGATTGCTTCTACCTCTTGGCTATTATGAATAACGCTGCTCTGAACATGGGTCTATAGATATTTCTTTGAGATCCTGCCTTCAATTCTTTCTGGTAAGTATCTAGAAGCCAAATTGCTGTATCATATGGTGATTCTATCTTTAATTTTTTGAGGAACTGCCATACTGTTTTCTATAATGGCTGCACCATTTTATATCCCCACCAACAGAGCAAAGGGGTTCCAATTCCTCCACAGTCTCGCCAATACTTGTTATTTTTTGTTTGTTTATTTGTTTTGTTTTGTTAGTGGCCATCCTAATGGCTGTGAAAACTTCATTCCTTTTTATGGCTGAATAATATTCCATTGAATAAATATATCACATTTTCTTTATTCGCCACTTGATGGACATTTGGGTTGTTTCTCTTTTTGGCTATTATGAATAATGTTAATATAAACATTTGTGTATAAGTTTTGCTTGATATATGTTTTCAAACTTCTTGTTTAATTTTTTGAGGAACTGTCAAAACATTTTCAAAAGCGGCTACACCGTTTAACATTCCCATAGCAATGTATGAGAATTCTAATTTCTTCACATCCTTACCAATCAATGCTTGTTATTTTTCTTTTTTTAAAATAACTATCCCAGTGGGTGAGGTGGTGTTTCATTGTGCTTTTGTTTTGCATTTTTCCCATGGTTAATGATGTTGATCATCTTTTCATGTGCTTATTGGCCATTTATGTATCTTCTTCGGAGAAATATCTATTCAAACCCTTTGTCCATTTGGAAATTGGATTGTCTTTTTATTGTTGAGTTGTGAGAGTTCTTTATATATTTTGGATACTAGGCCCTTATATGTGTGATTTACAAATATTTTCTCCATTCTGTGGGTTGTCTTTTCATTTTCTTGAGAATGTCCTTTGAATCATAAAAGCTTTTAATTCTGATAAAGTCAAATTTATCTATTTTTTTTTTCCCTTTGGCTGCTTGTGCTTTAGGTGTCTTATCTAAGAAACCTTTGCCTAAGCCAAGGTCACAAAGATTTACACCTGTGTTTTCTTCTAAGACTTCTGTAGTTTTAGCTCTTACATTTAGAACTTGGGTCCATTTTGAGTTAGTTTTTTATATGGTGTGAGGTAGGAGTCTCTTTGGGGTTCCTGGACCCAATTCCAACACTGGGGGTGTTCCTTCACACCAACAAACAGTTCTCAGGACACCAGCTGGGTGTCCTACAATTCAACTCGTTCCGACAGTATCTATGTGGGGAGAGCATCAGATCCTACAGGTTAAGTGCTCAGTCCCACAAGACTGCCTGCCCCTTTCAGACTCCAGTTGCAAGCCCAGGTTGTTACCTGTACTTCCGACCCACCAGTAATAGATCAGAGGTTCCCTGACCTCCTCCGTGAATTAATTAATTAACTTGCTGGAGTGGCTCAGAGAACTCAGAGAAACATTTTATTTATGAGATTACCAATTTATTTTGAAAGGATGGAACTCAGGAAGAGCTGCATAGGGCAAGGTAGGGGAAAGGACACAGAAGGTCCATGTCCTCTCCAGGAGCACCACTCTCCCCACATTTCTATGTGTTTGCCAACTTGGAAGCTCTCTGAACCCTGTCCTTTTTGGGTTTTTATGAAGGTTTCATAGTCATGATTGATTATAAATTAATTGGCATTGGTGACTGATTCAACCTCAATCCCCTCTCCCCTCCCTGTAGGTCAGGGAGTGGGACTGAAAGTTCTAACCTTTTGGTCACATGGTTGGTTCTCCTGGCAATCAGCTCCCATCCCTAGGTGGGTCCAAAAGTTACCTCATTAACATAACAAAAGGCACCGTTATCACTTGGGAAATTCCCAAGATTTCTGGAGCTGTGCGCCAGGAACTGTGGATGAAGACCAGATGTATATGAGAAACATATTTTGGCCTTCTAAATGACCAAATATATATTTCTTATAAATAGCAACATTGCAGGGTCCAAATTCATTCTTTTGCCAGTGGATATCCAGTTGTCCCAGCATCATTTGTTGAACATCAATGGGGTTTTGTCTGATTTTTTTCTTATGATTATACTAGGGTTTTGGTTTTTGGGCAGAAGATCACAGAGGTCAAGTGCCATTCTCATCACATTGTATCAAGGGCACATGCCATCAACATGGCTTATCATTGGTAATATTAACCTTGATCACCTGGCTAAGGTAGTGTTTGCCGGATTCCACTATGAAGTCACTCTTCTCTCCTTTTCATATTGTATTCTTTGGAAGGAAGTCATTATGTGAAGCCCACACTTCAGGAGGAGTTAAGCTCCACCTCCTTGAGGGCTAAGCATCTAACCTAAATTCTTTTGAATTCTTCTGCATGGGAGATTTGCCTCTTCTCCCCCATTTATTGATTTAATTCAATCATTTATTTAAATCAGTATGGACTCATAGGTATTTGTTTTATACTTGGGGTTATAATCTGATACTACTTTATTTACTTTGTTGCTCAGCTGTTTCCAGTTTTGGCCATTGGCTCTTGCGTCCCTTTGACATTTTCCCATCATTTTGTATGTTTATGTGTTTAGCACCTCCTGCTCACTTTCTGGCTTTACAAGGTGCTCCAGGCTCATCTTGTATATTTCCCGACCTAGTCCTAGAATCAACCATTCCTCCAAGAATCCTGGGTTCTTTTTGTTGAAAAATGGTATCGGAATCCAAATCTGGGTGCTAAGTGTGCTTGGGAAGCCCATTTTTAATGACTTGCATACTGAGGAAGTGTCAAAATTAATGTCGCTTTCCGATGTAAACCATAGGGTTAGGTTCCTCAGAGAAGAAGGGACAGCAGTGGTGTCTGGATCACAGACCGTGCTGAACACAGCTTGACTTTCCCAGCCACACCATCTTTGACCGTGCTCTGCATCCTGTATTAGTTCTGAACGCATACTTTTTCTCCTTGTTACTGGTCATATTTTTCTGCTTCTTTGCAAGTCTGGTAATTTTTGATTAGATGACAAACATTGTATGTTTTACCTGGTTGGAGGCCAGATATTTTTGTATTCCTGTAAATATTCTTGAGCATTGTACTGGGACATAAGTTACTTGAAAATGGCCTGATCCTGCTGGGTCTTGCTTTTCATATTTGTTAGGTGGGACCAGAGCAATGCCCAGGAGAGGTTTAATTATTCCTCACTTCTTTCATGACTCTGTATGAGTCTGTGTCTAAATCCTCAATGTTTCTTCTACCTTCAGTGCAGAGGTAATACCTGTGCTTTCTCTGTATTTCAATGCCAGTACTGGGCCCCAGCAGGAGCACAGCCACTGTTTCAGTATTGGTTAGGGGTGTTTCAGAACTCATCTGATATGGAGAGGGCCATGGGAGGTCTTGACCCCATTCACTCAGGAGGCTGGGGGAAGGGAACTCAGGACCAGGAGGAAGGGGCTAGAGGGCTGGAGTGGGGAGGCAGGGGGACAGCTCCATGATCAGAGGCTGAGCAACAGGCAGAGGGGAGGTGACTTGGGACCCCAAATGGACTGCTATAGAGCCAGGGGCCCAATCGCAGGGAAAGCTCAAGATGAGAGAGCTGTTCCCCTGCTCAGCCCTACAGCATGCAGGATGTGGGGTAGACCCAAGAGAGGCTTCCAGATTATGTGGGCTCAGGGTCACTGATCATCCAAAGGGACATGGAAGCTAATGAGTTGATTTTCCCAGACAGGCAAACTCCATCCAGCCTGTTCTGGGCTTAAGAGCTGTCTGGGGCAGGGGAAGAATAGGGTGACCCCTGGACATCACCCTCACTGTGGCCCAGGGCAGAGCTGAGAACCCCTTTATGGGCAGATTAAAAGCCTCTGTGACCGTGATCTTGACCATCAACATAAGAGAGAAGTGGAGGGGGAAGGAGGGAAGGAGAGAGAGGTGAGGAGGGGGCAAGGGAATCAGGAGGATAAGAGAAGGAGGAGGGGGAGGAGGAGAAACAGTAAAGAGACCATGACAAGGAGGGAGACAGGAAAAGGGACAGAGAGAGGGAGGGACAGGCAGACACCAGCAACCACAGGGAGGACAGAGGGCCGTGGACAGAGGACAGCAGTCAAGCTGTGCCTAGAAGGCAGTCTCCAGCGGTGTGCCCCAGGGCTCTGTTCCCTGCCCAGGCCTCTCGGTTCACGGGGAAGAAAAACTACACACACCAAGAGCCCCGCTCCACAGAAGACAGGAGCCGGAGGGACGGCAGAAGACAGAAGCCGGAGGGATGGCGAACACTGCCGGCCGCAGCTGATCAGGGTGAGTCAGCAGAGGGAGGGCAATCAGACACTGGGAAAGGTTCTGCGTTTAGGGTCAAACATTCACGGCACAAGTAGAGAGGGCGGGACAACCGTCTTGTCCGCGATTCCTGGAAAAGTCCAGCTGGAGGCTGCCCCTGAGCCAACGGCGGTGTGGTTGCTGGAAAAGCTGGTGCGACACTGGGTGATGTGGGTGCAAGGAGAGGGTCCAGGAGGAGGAGGTGACAGACCCCCATCCTCTGGACTGTCCTGGGGCCCCCTGAGCCTGCTCTGCTAGGAGGGAGAACAGGCACGGGTGCAGGGAATGTTCTGGAAGGCTTGCAGAGTCAGAGAAGACAGAGGCAGAACACAGAGGACCATCAGGAGACCAGGCAGTCAGACGGGGCCTGGGTAACCCCAGCTCTGGCACTTCCTGTGACCTCTGACCAGTCCCTTCACCTCTCTGAGCCTCGGTCTCCTCATCAGTAACACGGGAGGGATGACAGTGCGTGCTTCTCGGGGCCTGAGCCCAGAAGAAGCGCCCAGAAATGGTGGGTCTGAAGAGCCTGGGGCTGCCCGGCTGGAGAAGGCGCTCGTGCTGACCTGAGAGCTGTGTGCACCGTGGGGACAGCTGCCAGGGTGGGGACAGACCTGCCCTGGACACGCACACACACGTGCGCGGCTGTGGGCCCCAGAGAGGGACCCGGGAGAGGCCCTCCACACCAGGAGGCCGACACAGGGCCCAAGGGGGTGGGGCGGGGCTACTTACGGGTAGTAGGAGTAGGCATAGTGGTCCCTCCTGGCAGCATGCAAAGAGAAGAGCACAGTTGGGCCCGTGGTCCAGTCACAAGGTGGGCCGAGGGCAGCACCCAGTGGGCAGGGAGGGGCCTGGTGCTTTCTGTGCTGGGAGGGTGCTGGCCAGGGACTGGACAGGTCAGGAGGACCTTCCTTGTCCCAAGGGCTGGCTGGGCTCAGTCGCTGAAAACCAAGACCGGAGGCCCCTTCCAGAACCTTCCCCAAGCCTGCTGCTGGAGGGAGGAGGTGGTGGGGAAAGGGCCTGGGGAAGCCGAGCTTTCACACAATCACACACACGTGGACACAGAGAGAAATACACACACTTACACACTCACACATAAACAGACACACTCATGTGGATACACAATCACACACAGACACCCTCCCTCACATGCTCACAGGTGACCCTGCTCTCCCCTGCAGCCCCACCCCTCAGTCCCAATGCTGCTCACACCTGCAGGCCCCTCTGCCCCTGAGGGGTCAGCCCTCCGCATACACCTGTGCCTGGGAGGGAACCCTGGCTGGGGGGTGGGGGTAGGGGGAGGTGGAGAGGGCTCCAGCTGGACTCCATGGCAAAGGTGAGGCCCGCTCTCCCCGACCCAGACTGCCCCTGAGTGTGGGGCCCATCAGAGGAGCTGGGCCGCCCCCTCTGGGCACCCAAAGCATGGCTTGGGTCTGATCCCACTTTGCAGGTGGGGAAGCTGAGTCCCAGACAGTCGTGGTCCTCCAAGGCCTCTCTGGGGGTCAGGGGCAGAGTGCAGACGCCTGTCCCAGGACCCTGACCCCCAGAGCCAGCTCCCTCCTGAGGCCCCATCTGGGCACATCCAGGGGTCCTTCATTCACCTGCCCCCACACCACCCCCCAGCAGCGACCCCAGGGAATAGCCTTCCATGAGGGACTCTGCAGACTGGGGAAAGGGAAGGAGAGAAGAGTGGAAGGCTGAGGCCCAGTGAGGGCAGGAGAGTGGCTGGAGGCCACACAACACGTCTCCTCTCATCCATCCCAGGAGAGAGTGGAGGGTACAGGCCCTATGGCTGGTCACTGGGGCTGGGGCGGGGACCAGGTGGGCTGAGGAGGGCAGCATGTGGAGGTAAGCTGGGCATGAGTTTGGAGATAGGCACACCTGGGTCAACAGTGGTCTGTCTCTCACTATATACAAGTTATTTTTATAAAAGATAAACCTGGGTCCTGTCTCTCTTCTCTTGACTAAGACCCTTCACTGGATTCCAGGAGATCTTGCAATAAAGTCCATAGTCCTTAATATAGCTCATGAGGCCCTGGGTGGTGTTACCACTACCTGATTCTGGGACTGCCCAGTGTGGGGAGGCCTGCAGGAGAGAAGGGCAGGGTCTCTGGGAATCCTTCTGGAAGGACTTGGCAGGCCTTTCTTCCATCCCTTGGAAGTACCCCTGGGGTAAATGGCTGAGGGCTCCCAGTGTCACCCCTGAGCCCCGGGTCTTCATTCTGGAGCAGGCATGGCCAGGGCTCCTTCAGAGGCTCTTGCTTTTGAGCTAAAGAACAACAGAAGAGCTTAGAAATGGGATGGAAGGGATTGACCTTGTGCTCTTTTCCCCCAGGTCACCAGGATGCTGGGAGGCTGGAGTCTGCAACTCGGAGCCTGTCATCTCCGGGTCCCGACAGCTGATTTGTGTGCCCGCATCTGCATTCTCTCTGATGTGTGTCTCCCAATCCCGACTTGTGTGTTTCTATTTATTTTTCTCACTTTACTGAATGGCTTTTTGCTGTGAGCTCCTCCAAATCCTCGGTGGAACAAAGCCGAGAGTAAATAGGTGAGTGCTGACTAATTCAAATATTTCTAGTCACAGCCTCGGTCACGTCTTGGCATGTGGCACCCTTTCAGACGGCTGCACTCTGGGAAGTAGGAACGCCTTTCCCTGGCTCTCCAGCTGTTTTGTTCGAGCATCGGAGCTGTGCGGGGATCACCCCAGTGCCCTGGGATTGGGCCACACAGGTTCGTCCCCTGTCACCAGCGCACGGCAAACGCCAGCCCAGGCCCCTCTCAGCCTCTGTTTCCCAGGCCAAGGTCAGGCCTCCACTGGCCCCACGCCCCACCGGGAGGTGATAACAACCAACATGAGCTATGAACAAAGCATCTGGATCTGGCCTGATCCCCATTTTGCTTAAGGAAAGGGAGGCTCAGAGAGGTGAAGGGACGGACATGTCCAAGGTCACACAGCAGGGTCCTTTGGAGACTGGAACTCCCAGCTCTTCTGTTGATGTCGTGCACTTCCCCCTGCCAAGGCCTCTCTTTGGCCCTTACTGTGTCCTGGGCTCCTGCTCAGGACTCCCAGAGTGGTCAGAGAAAGGAGAAGGTGTCGTTGGGTTTCCTGACTCCTCCCTTTCCTGGGTGCCCCCCAATCTCACACGCATGCCCACACATTGCCGCCCCACCCCCCGCACATGTCCCGCGCACATACAGACCACATTCGTCTGCACATACCCTCCCGCACACACCTGTGCTCTCCCACACCCCCCGGCCTCCAGCACCTTCTACCTGGCAGAGGCACAGCCATCAGCTCCCTTAGGAGGTAAAGGAGGGGAGGACGAGCCAGGTTCTTGGTCATGCTAGAACGATGGTCTTCTCTGGCCACCTGTCCTAGCCTTCAAGAAAGCCCATCCCAGTGTCTCTCTGAGCAGGACCCTCCAGAGAAAAACTGGGAATAAGGGAGCTGTCCATCTCTGTAGGATGTCTGAGTGGGGGTCCTCTGGATGGGCCTGGCTAGTCACCTCTCCTGACCGGACATTCTCTACTGATGATCATGCCTGTCACCATCAGACACCTGTGGCCTCGGGGGAGGGGGTGGCAGGGCTTCCTGCGTGCCCAGGATCACAGAAGTCCTCCTGCAGACACTGTGAGCCCTGGGTGGGAGGCTGAGAGAGGGCAAGGCCAGCCGGCCTGGGTCAGGGCTCTGGGTCAGGGAGAGGGCCTCTTCCTTCCTGCCTCTGAAGGGCTCACTGGGGCCCTATGCAGGCCTCAGCAGCATCTTCAACTCCACACTCTGGCCCTTTATTGACCCCAGAACTCCTGGGGGGAGGGGTGATGTAAGAGGGGGAGGGTGCCATCAGCCAAGGCCCCTGTAAGGCTCAGGCCTTTCCCCAGAAGACCCCAATTTCATCTCCGTGTGGAAGGAATAGGGTCTGAGGGCAAGAAAAAGGAGCTATGTGACTTCAGGCAAGCACCTTGACCTCTCTGTGCCTCAGTTTGTCTATAAAATGGGATAATAACAGGGCCCCCACCTCGTAGTGTTGTTGCAAGTGCCCCGTACTGCAGGTCACGGTCCCAGCACACAGGAGGACCTCGGTCAATGCGGGCCGCAGGGCTTAGGGCCAGGTTTGCGGCCTCCAGCTGTCTGACCCTGAGGAGGTCATGCCCCTCCCTGCGCCCCTGTCCACGGCCTAAAACGAGGACCATTCTAACAGCAGCACGGCACCACAGGTCCCTGTGGAGATCACGTGGGATCGCGAGTGATTAAAAACAGCCCAGGATGTCTCCTGCCCATCCGCGCACCCCGAGGTCAGCATGAAGCCCCGAGCATGTGTTTATTACAGGCTGGGCTCACGGCTCCCCTTCCCGCCCCACCCTGTCCAGTGTCGCCCAGGGGTCCCCCCGGCCCCTCCAGCTACCTGCTAATGAGCCGCAGCCTTCGGTAATGAGGCTGCTTCATCATGGAATGTGCTGGAACAGCCTTGGAGGGAGAGGGGCTGGGTGGGGGAGGAAGGAGGAGATGAGGTGCCTGGCTCCCCATCAGCCTGGCCGGCTCCAGAGTCTGCCACAGACTCAGTCTCCTCAGTCTAGAGCAATCATGAAAGGGGAGTGAGGGGCACCCCCTCCCAACCCTTATTGGGAAAGTCCCCTTGCCCGTGAAATGCAGGGAGGCACCACTGACTCCCCAGAAGGCGGGGTGCTGCCTGACACCTTAGCCAGCATTTATTGAGCACTGACTGTGTGCTGGGGGCTCTGCTCAGCCCTTAACAGGCATATGTCAGTTAACCTTCAAGGTCATTGTCAAGGACATACTGGAGACAAGACAGCACTGAGGCTGGGAGCACAGACTTGAAGGCCAAGCCTGTTGGATTTGAACCCAGCTCTGCATTTGCTGATTGAATAAATGTTAATGGAGTTATGTCAGCTCTCTGTCCCCTGGTACCCTCAGGTAAGATGGAGTGAATAATGATAGCACCTGCCTCTGGGGATTCAGATACTAAATATATTTAAAGGGCTTAAAACAATGCCTGGCAAGGTGTAAAGTGCTGGCTGTTAGTATTGTCCATATTTTATAGATGAAGAAACCAAGAGCAAAGCAAAGTCCTTTGCCCAAGATCTCAGCAATGAGGTGGTACAGTTAAAATGTGAATCTAAGATTTCCTGGCCCCCAAGTACTCTCCTTAACTAAGCCTCAGGATTTTTGCCCTAGTAAGCCTCAGTTTCCCCATCTATAAGTTACAGGGGGTAGGGAGGATGGTAACTAGGGTTCCAGTGTAAAACTCTTTGCCTCCCTGATTCTCACTGGAGATTCCAGAGTTGGAGCAAGCTTCAAAAGCCATGGGCTCCCTTGTACATTGCAGCCAGATCTCATTACAGGCCCTGGAGGACATGCCAGGTATCTGGTTGGCAGGGGCTGAGGTGAAGTGGGCCGGACTTAGCAGGTGAGACTCTGGGGGAGATACTTCCACAGACACCCCCAATATTACAGTGCACTTGGGCTCCAAGTGGAACCTGCCACAACAAGTCACAGGTAGAAGGTTCAGGAACACCATCTGCTTCTGTAGGAGCCAGCTGACAGCATTCCCTTTAGACCTGGAGCTGCGTGCTCTCTGCAGAGGCCTTGGGAGGGGTGAAAGCTCTGAGCAGAGAGGGCTAGAAACTATTTTCTGATGCTTTATACACCCTGTCCCATTTTTACCCCTACACCCTTCTGCAGATAGAGTCATTCATTCCCAAATCCAGCCACCCCTTAACTTCCTCCCTTAACCTAACTCAGCCCTCTACCCCTCACACAATGCCATCTCTCATCCAGTGTTTCAATAGTCTCTGCACTGGGCACCTATTGCAGTCCCTGCAGATCATAGTAGATAGAGGAGACCTCCCTAAGACCCAATTCAGATTGTACCCTTATCTGTCCACTGAATGCTTTAATATCTTCTCCTCACCCTCCTCCACTGGCCTACGAAGACCTAAGTGATCTATCTCCTTGCTTCCCTCCACAGTCAATGGCCTCCTTGCTGCTCCAGAAATTCATCAAATCCATACCCACAACAGGGCTGTGGCACTTGATGCTCCCTATGCCAAGGAGGCTCACAGCTTCACCTGCCTGGCTCTGTTGTTGTGTCTTTCTGGTCTCAGCTTAAACGTCACCACCTCAGAGTGGCCTTTCCTGAACTTCTATCTAAAGGAGTCCCTGTGCCCCAATCCCTGTGTTCTTAGTGCTCCTCATCACTTCCTTTTCAGTCTCTGTGCTATTTATGGAGGACATAGCAGTGAACAGGACCTGTCCTTGTCCTCAGACACTTGTGACTCTATTGATAAGGTAAAAGGATTGGAACTGATAATAGTTGAGGATTCTCTCTTTCTCTCTCTCTCTCACAGACACACACACACACACATACACACAAATATACAAATGCATCTGATGGTGCCACACAGGAAGCACATAGGTTGCCATGGAAATATGTAATGAGTGGGGGGGCTGACCTATTGTGGGTTAGGGAGGGTTTCTCTGTTTCTATCTAAGAGTAACATTTAAAAATCTAAATGATGGGACTTCTGTTTCCTCCAAGTCAGAGTATCCTCCCAGGTCTTTCCATTTAGAGCTAAAAAAACCCTGAACATAATGCAACACCAAGCACAGGAAGACCCCAAAAGACAGAAAGAAGATACACTGCATAGGGACCTCAGAAGCTGAGGAACGATGTGGCAGTGAATTCCCTAGGTTTTCTTATTGCCTTCCCTATATCCTGGCAAAGTCCTGCTAAAGCCTCCAACCCAGAACCACTAACAGATACAGACAAAAACAGCTCCAAGAAAAACCCGTCACTGTAGCTAAAAGACAAGGAAAAGGGTTGCCTAATAACAGAAAACTTTTTGTCAAAATCTGCCTTACTTCAGCTGAAAAGCAACAGAAAACCTTTTCTCCTCCTACTCCCCTTGCCCTGCATTTTCAGGGAGCTAATGTTCCATTCCACTCCACCCTCACCATGTGTAAGCAGGCATTGATGTTCCGGTTCCCCTGCCAGGATAGTTGTAGCAAGAGTCATATGGGTGTAGGTATGAGCTAAGCCTCCACTCCCACCTGACATCAATGAAACTTTCTTGGTGATAGAAGGTGGGGCTATTTGCATTTGATGTTCCCATCCAACATCCAACTGGTATTTGCAGGCCCTAGAGAGAAACTGTGTCTCTACCCTAACCTGCCATTGGTGAGGCAGAATGAAGTGGTGAGAAGCAGGGTGAGTTGGCACTCTGCTTTCCTCTATCTCTCCCTCGGTGTCAACAGGGCCCAGAGGGGGAAGCTCAGCTCTGCTTCTACCCTCCAGCCGCAATGTGGTGTGAGTCAGCCCTCAGCTTCCTCCAGCCCTGTGTCAGTAGGGCACAGTGGGAAGCTGAGCCTAATATCCCCATTCAGAAGAAACAAGGCAGTAGAGCTGGTGCCCTATTTTTGCAGGCATGCCAGGGGGGAGCTGAGCACACACACCCACCTGGCCTCTTGCTACAACTGCTAGGAAAAAAAAAGAAGAAAAAAAAAGATTAAATAGACTTCAGAGTCTTATAAAATGTTCAGGATGCAATAAAAGAAGAATCACTCATCATACCAAGAACCAGGGAAATCACAACCTGCATGAGAGAGATAATAGGTGGCAACACTGAGATGAATCAAGTGTTGGAATGATCTGACAAGTACTTTAAAGTAGCCATCATAAAAATGATTCCATAAGCAATTATAAATTCTCTGGAAACAAATGAAAAAAAAAACGTGTCAGCAAAAAATAGAAGTTATAAAAAATAACCAAATGGAAATTATACTACTAAAATATAAAATAACCAAAAAAAGAAAGAAAAGAAAACTCAAGGGATGACTCAACAGTAGAGTGGACATGGTAGATGACAGAATCCATGAACTCAAGTGTAGTTCAATAGAATTTACTCAGTCTGAACAAGAGAGAGAAAACAGACTGAAAAAAAATGAACAGAATTTCAGAGATCCATGGGACAATAGCAAAAGAACTAACAATGATATCATTGGAGTCTCAGGAGGAGAGGAGAGAGAGTGGGACTGAAAATGTATTTGAAGAAACAATAGCTAAAAATGCCTAAACTTAGTAAAAGACATATACCTACAGATTCAGAAGCCGAGCAAACCCCAAATAGGATAAACCCAAAGAAACTGATGTGAAGCTGATGCCAGGTCACATCATAATTAAATGCTCAAAAACTAAAGACAATGAAAAATCTTGGAAGTAGCCGGAAAGAAACTTCATGTTACTTATAAGGTACATCAGTCTGAATGTCAGTGGATGACTCTTTTGAAATTGTGGAGGCTCCAATTAAGTGGCATAACAGTTTCCAAGTACTGAGGAAAAAGAACTGTCAACCATGAATTCTATATCTGGTAAAAATATTCTTTGAGAATTAAGGGGAAAATAAAGTGGGTTTTTTTTTTTTTTAAATTTTTGCCAGCAAATGTATCCTTAGAGAATGGCTAAAATAAGTAGTCTAAACAGAAAGGAAATGATAACAGAAGGCTTGGAGCTTCAGAAAAGAATGAACACTATCAGAATGGGTAGGGGTACACAGAATAGAAATCTTTTTTCTTATGAGTTTAAAAACTCATATTTGATGGTGGAAAGAAAAATTGAAAACCACTGAATGTGGCATCCAGTGCATGCAAAGGAAGTATTTAAGACTAGCTTAAAGTGTGGAGGGATCTAAATGGAAGTAAGGTATCTATATTTAATTTGAGTGGTAAATGTCAATATCAGTAGAGTGCAATAAATTATGTATGTATATTATAATACTTAAAGTAAAATTAAGAAAACTATACAAAGTGATATATTCAGAGACACTATAAACAAATCAATATGGAATCCAGAAAATATGTTTAGGTAACCCACAGGAATGTAAGAAGAGAGAACAGAGGAGTGAGAAGCAAAACAAACAAAATAAAAATGGCAGATATAAGCCCTAACATATCAATAATTAGATGTAAATTGTTTAAATACATCAATGAAAAGACAGAGATTGGCAGAGTAGACCAAAAACAAAACAAAACAGAACAGAACAAGCAAAAAACCAAAAGAACACATGACCCAACAATGTGTTGTACACAAGTAACTCACTTTAAATACAACAATGTAGATAGGGTGAAATTAAAAGAATGGAAAAGATAATTAAAAAGCAGGATGGACCATGGTAATGTCAGATACAGTAGTCTTCAGAGAAAAGGACATTACTAGAAAGAAAGAGGAATATTACATAATTAAAGGGTCAATCCACTAAGAAGACATAACAATTTTAAATATATATGTACCAAATAATAGAACCTCAAAATACATGAAGCAAAACCGATAAAGTTGAAAGGAGAAATAGACAAATCCAAGATGATAGCTGGGAAACATTAAGACCCCACTCTCAGAATCGAAAATCAGCAAAGACATAGAAGAACAGAACAATACAATCAAGAGGATCTAATTGACAGCTACAGAACACTTCATCCAAAACACACATTTATTTTCAAGTGCCCATGGAACATTCTCCAAGATAGACTATATCCTGTGCCATAAATAACAATAATCAAAATAAAAAAGTCAGTCAATGAGTTTAATAGCTAAACAGGGAAGACAGAGAAAGAAGCCAACCTACTCGAAGATGGAACTACAGAAATTACCCAATCTGAAACAGCAAAGACAAAATTTGGAGAAAAAAAAAAAAAAGAACAAAGCCTCAGGGACTTATGGGACTATAACTAAAAATCTAACATTTGTGTCATCAGAATCCCAGAAGGAGAAGGGAAGGGAGGATCTGAAAAACTCAAAGAAACAATGGCTGAAAACTCCCCAAATTTGGCAAAAGACAGAAACCTATGGATTCAAGAAGCTGAGTAAATCTGAAATAGGAAAATCCAAAGAAATACACACTAAGACATCATCATCAAACTTCTAAAAATTAAAAAACAAAGAAAATATCTTAAAAGCAGGAAATTTGGAGAGAGTGAGAGAGAACTGACACCTTATCTATAGGGTTAAATATTAGGATGACAGGTTATTTCTCATCAGAAATCACAGAGGCTACAAGAAAGTGGCACACAATATTTACATGCTGAAAGAAAAGAATCCTATATTCGGTGAAAATATCCTTCCTGAATGAAGAGGAAACCAAGACATTTTCAAATGAAGGAAAACTAAGATAACTTGTTGTTAGAAGATCTGCCCTAAAAGAATGGCTAAAAAATTCTCTAAATGGAAAGGAAGCATAAAAGGAGAATTCTTGAGGGGTACCTGGGTGGCTCAGTCGGTTAAGGGTCTCACTCTTGATTTCGGCTCAGGTCATGATCTCAGGGTTTTGAGACTCCAGAGTGAGGCTCCAAACTCAGCAAGGAGTCTGCTTGAGATTATCTCTCTCAATCTGCTTGAGATTATCTCTCTTTCTCTCTGCTTAAGCTCTCTCTCTGGAAAAAAAAAAAAGGAGGATTCTCAAAACATCAGGAAGAAGAAAGAACATAAGTAAAAATATGAGTAAATACACTAGACTTTTTTTTCCCCCTTAAGTTTTCTAAATTGTGTTTTACGGTTGAAACAAACACTGTAACTCTGGTGTGGTTCTAAATGTATGTAGAAGAGATAGTTAAAACATTTATATTATAAATGGGGGAGAGTAAAGAAAGGTAAGCTCTCTCCATTCCACTCAAAGTGGTAAAGTGATGAGGTCAGTAGAGGGGATAAGTTATGTAGATACAACGCAACACCCAGAGCAAACAGGAAAGGAACTATACAGAGATCCACTCCAAAACAATACAGATCAATAAAAACTGAAGTCTAAAAATATTCAATAATAGACAGGAAGGCAGGAGAAAGAAATAAGGGATATTGGTCTAGAGTTTTCTTTTTGTGTGCTGTCTGGTTTTTGGTTCAGGGCAGAGGAGTGGCTGGTTGAAAGTAACACAAGTTTCTTCAACTGAACAACGTGGAGGAGCAACAGACCTCACCTCCTCGGGATGGCTCTGAGGCTTAAGGTAATGCATGGGAAAAAAAGGCATTAATGCCTGGCACACGGAGTATATACTTTGCCTTTGATAAATGATCACTATAATTTTGGTTTAATAACACGATCTCTCTTTCTAATTCAAGGTCACCCTCGATTGTAGTCTGAATCAATCTATTTTTTTTTGTAGTTTTAAAATTTATGTTCCAAAATTGATCTTAAACAGCTTATAGTTATCCGTCATGAAATATATACATGCATATGGACATCAGGGTGATGGGGGGGGGGGAATGAGCACCTACTAGTTAAATAAATGATGTCATTAGATCTGTCTCCATCCTTTGCCCTGGTTTCTGCCAGGATGGCCTGACATTCTGGCAGTCCCTCTCCTTGAGATGGTTCCACAGTGGAGACGATGCTCACACCATATTGTCTCCAAGTTCACAGAAATCCCAGAATTCAGCCTCATGAGCTTGGATTGGCTTCATATGCTCATTTCTGAACCAATCACTGTGGACGGGGCATGCACCACTCTGATTGGCCAGCCCTGAAGTTCTGTCCCCTCTTCCATCTGGGGATGGAGTGATTTCTGCAGGACCCGCAGGGACTGGAGGCCTGCCCAGAGGCAAGTTGCTTTCTAACCAATATTTTTGTTTTCTTGATTTTTATCTGGATAAAGCATGAAGCTAACAAATATGCTCTTCTTTCTTTCTTTAGGTCCCAAGAAGCTCTTTGCTGCACAGTGCATTGGTGACCGGATTTCAGTAAAGGGTCTATCTTTGCAACTACAGTTCATTGATGGATTTACAAGGGAGGGAAGGTGGTTAAGTCCTGCTAGAGGCTGCTTTCGCATGTCTCCTCTTTTAATTGCATGTTTATGTCCTGGCCCAAAGCTCTGTGAAACATCGGGGGCGGCGGGGGGATCCCAACACCCATCTGTTCCAGATGCAAATGCAACTGATGTGAGGAAAGACAGGTGTGGGGAGGGGGTGGCTGGGACAGGAGGACATGCCTGCCTCCTCTTTGGAGCTGCAGGGTGGCTGGGAGCCTCCATCCCCACAGCCCAGCCGCTCTGCTCACCGGACGTACTATCTGGGGATTTGGGTCAGGGCAGCGGGCTTGATCCTCTATTGAGCTACTGTTTCTTGGGCCCCTACTATGGGCTAGGGGCTCTACGTGGATTTTCTAACTTAAACTTCACAGTGATCATATTACCCAAACCCATTGTAAAGACAGAGGGGAACTAACTCTTACAGATGTGTGCAGGGCACTGGGCTACATACGGGAGCAGGGAAGATTTGCAGGTGTGTTAAATGGTGACTCAGAGACGTGCAGGGTTTGCCAAGGCACTTGAGTTGGAGCTGGCATTGGAAGGCAGGTTTGTTATCTCGAAATTTCCTGCTGTTTTCCCTCCCTCTTCACTGCCAAGGCATAGCAAAATCTGGGCCTCAGTTTCCCTACCTGTGAAATGGTCCCCAAGGGACAGGACAGGATGAGTGTGAAGGCTGCTTTAGGCTTTGGGATGGTGTTTTTCGAAGAGGGTGGGCCCGGAATGGCAGGTGTGGGGCTGGGGTGGAGAGGTCTGGGATCAGGGGGCTCTGTGGTCCAGGGACCAGGGGCGTCCAGTTCTGGTACCAGGAGTAAGGCTCAGACCTGGTCAGAGAGCTGGTTTTGTCCCTGTCACTTGGCCCCTTTAGCCCCTCCTCCAAAAACCTCCCAGGGAGGCAGTGACCTCTCATGGGGCAAACCATGGGTCTGTGATCTCCCCAGGAAAGGCCATCTTCCCTTCTCTAGATGGGTCACCCTCTGCATCCCTGACTCTGGCCTGTCTGTGGCCCTATCTGCTTGTCCTGGCCTCGCTATGTTCAGAGGCTGTGCTGATCAAGGGCATAGCCTGGAGCTGACTGTTGGGAGTGGGCTGGGGGCGGAACAGGAGCACCTGAGAATTGTCCTGTCCCCTTCCTCTCTTGTTCTTATTTACAAATGCCTGAGTCCTTTGTCCCCACATCAGGATATAAGTGCTTCTGAGCCAAAAAGAGCTACAGCATGGTGGAAGAAGGGGAGTATGAAACACTCAAGCAGAGGTGTCTGAGGGGCCCCCAAACAGGTGCCACGAAGAGAACATGGAGTCCACAATCCAAAGAGCTGGAGGCCTGGGCTGTCGCCGACATGCTGTGTGACTTGGGGCACGTGACTGCCCCTCTGGTCTCAGTTTGCTCACCTAGGACATGGGGAGAACAATTCCCACCTGGGGCAGACTGGAATGAGACACCAGGCGGGGGTGAGGGGTGGTCGGGGCTCCGGACGGAAACCACACCTGTGCTGGGGTTTGGGCCCGGGTGCCCCCTCGGCCGCAGGTCTCCCACCAGGGCTTCAAGGAGGAGACGGCGCCCCCTCCAGACCAAGAACTGTCCTCTCCTCCCTCATGGCAAACCTCCCCACGGGTCAGAACGTGTCCCCCAATTGCCCCCTCAGGTTCACAGGGCCTGAAGTGGCCCCTTCTGTCTGTCCCCCCTGTAAAGTGCGAGTGGTTGTCCTACTCAGTGCCGGTGATCGGGAGCGTGGGGTCTGCAGGGGCACGGTGTAGAGAGCATTTGAGGGTGGGCCGGAGCAGGTGGCTGGGAGGATGTGCCAGCACCCCAGACCGGGGTGGGAGAACAGTTGGGGGTGTGGCACTCGGGAAGGAGCCAGGTGTCCCGGAGGTCCCGTGTGGCCGGGGCTTTGTGCAGGCGTGGGATTTCAGACTCTGGGATGGTCAAGGTTGGAGAAGACCCTGGCAGTCCTCTAGCTGCTCCCTCTCCGGGGGCTCCCTAGTGTGGGCTTTGCTCCCCCCCGCCAACCCCCTGGGACTCCCAGACCCTGGCGCAGGGATCCTAAGTCTTCAAATGGGTGGGGGCTTGGAACCTGCATTTCAAGGAGACCCGGGGGTTCCGAGAGGCCACCTTGCTTCTGCCCAGGCCTGGGTGCGAGCCCTGCTCCAGCGTCCAGCACAGGAGACGCTGGGCAAGCCCCTCCCCTTCTCCAAACCTCCCCGTCTGTCTGTGGATGGGGGCAACCTCCTGCTCCCAGGCTCCGACTGAAGGCTTGGTGACAGGCTGCAGCGGGACGCACCTCGGCCTGTGCTCGGCACACAGTGGGCCCTTCAGCGGTGTGAATGTCCCTGAAACTCCAGTGTCAGCATCAGCCCTGAGGTGTCCCTTGGGAGAGTGTGACTGCAGGTGAATTATTTCCCAGTTTGAACTCAACTCTGCTTCCCAGCTCTGCTCGGTATCCAGGCTCAGTATCTAGTGGTGTTTGGCCTAAAATAGGTACTCAGTAAACACGCTTGGTGAGTAAATGAATTAATAATATCCGGGACCACACATACCATACCCGCCCCTTTGCTCCCCACAGACCATCGCTGAACCGATAGTAAATAATATTCAATACCCCCCAAATTGTGATCGCTGACCCATATTGAGTGCTTCCCATGTGCTAAGCATTGTTATCCTTCATAATAGCACCCCCTCCAGACCTTGGGGACATAGGTTCTAGTCTCTCCCATTTTATGGATGGGGAAAAATGAGGCTCAGGGAGAAGGGAGGGGATTGCAGGGGTAAGAGGAGGAGCTGGGACTTGAATCCAGACCCGTCTGCGCCACATAGGCCCCCCTGCTTCTCTGTCTGCTGGTGCTGCATTTGGACTTCCTCTTGTGTGGGCCCAGAGCAGACAGCCCGCCTCAGCTCTCTCCCCCCACCCACGCAGCCTCCACTCCAGCCTGGAGGCTTTTCTGTCTGTTCCTCAACCCATCACAGTTGCCTTGTCTGGCTGGGGATGTGACTGCCTTTCTGGAAGGTTCTGTTCCCTTTTTTTTGTTGTTGTTGCCAGATTTTCCTTTGCAGTTTCCTGTCTTCATTTTTGGCAGGACCTTTTGCACATGAACAGAAGGCATCTCCTGGCTTCTCTCCCTGGGGTGGTGCAGAGCTGGGAATTCTGCTTTTGGGTGCCTGGGGCTTCCTTTGGAAAAGAGGAGGGGCAGGTGGTGAGCACCCCCATATGCACCCCATTCTCAGGGGACCATTGGGCCCATCGCAGCCTTCCCCACGGGGCCTCCCCTCAAGGGGCCCGTGGTCAGCCAGGCCCCCTCCGGCTGCCCTGGTGTTTCCTCTGCCAAGGCCCAGGCTGGGGTGACAGGCAGGGTGCGGCCTCCCCAGGAGAAAGAGAACCGCCTCTGTGCTGGGCTGGGCTGGGAGAGGCCAGGCCATGTCCACCCGCCCAGATGCCATCCACTCGCTGCTCCTCCCAGTCCCTCTGGAGGCAGGCCTGGCGCCTCCCAGGGAGGGGGACCGGCTCCCGGTGAGTCGGAGGTGACTGCGGTGGCGCACAGAGAAACTATATTTTCTATTCCACCAGTCATATGTTTATTTTAATGAGTATCAGAACCCCCCCCCCAAGCAATTAATGCATGAATCCCTTGATTTCATGGATTTTATGGCTCAGGGTGAGGCACATTGAAAACGGAGCCTATTTCGAGTCGATCTGAAGGGAACTTGAGTCCACACGGTAGGAGGCAGAGTTGGGAAGAGCCCAACAGGCCCAGAGAAACCACTTGAGTTGGGGGGCGCTGAAGAGGCCCGTGAGCTCCATGTGAGATTCGTGGGGGGCCGGCCTGGCCCTGCCTGTGGCTAAGGGACCTTGGGCAGGCCACTGCTCCCTGGCGAGCCTCCCTTGGCTCCTCCGTCACGTGGGCTGGGCAGCAGTGGCGCACGGGGGGCTGGGGAGAGGGTGAGGTGGGGTGAGAAAGGTGGAGGGCTGGCCCCAGCCTGGCACGGGGTCAGCGCCCCACTCTGGTGGCGGCGGGTGCTTTTACTATTGTTAGCATCAGTGTCCCTATTCACCAGGGGCTCATTCTGGGTGTGGGGACTGATGGTTTTCATGGGGGAAGAGAGCTTGTCACCCAATCCTCAGCCCAGCCTCACGCCAGCAGCCCCACCAGGGGCGCCCTCCTCACGCTTCCCAGCTCTGGGCCAGGCAGGCCTGGGTGTGTGTCCAGCTGGGCCACCGGCTAGTGGGCAACACAGCTTCCTGGAGCTGCCATGTCCCTGACTGTAGGCTGATAATAGAGACTCACCTCGCAGGGGTGTGGCTGTGGGAAGCAACAAGAAAAGGCAGGTCAAGTCCCCAGAACAGTAGGGCTTCATCCCATGAGAAAAGTTGTCTTCCCATGGGGTGAAGATCTACTGGTCAGGCAGGGACAGTTTGTTAAAATATGGGGAAGCATTTGAATCAGTTCTGAGTGTTAAATGTGTTGTACCTGACATGCTCATCCATCCACCCATCCATCCATCCATCCATCCATCCATCCATCCATCCATCATCTACCCATCATCTATCCATCCATCCATCCATCATGCATCCATCCATCGATCCATCCATTTATCCATCCATCATCCACCCATCCATCATCCATCCATCCATCGATCCATCCATTATTCATCCACCATCCATTTATCTCTTCATCCTTCCATCTGGTAATTGGCAGTTGAGCACCTATTATATGTCAAGTGCCATGGTGCAGACAGTGCTGAACAAAACAGCCAAGGTCTTACCTTCATGGTGGTTTAGTTGAGC